GGAGGTACAGATAATAGCAGTAAATGCTGCATTTAATCACACTGTGGGGTGGGGTGGAAATGAARTCTTGCTAGAAGGTTATAAGTGAAATACAGAGAGAAGTGAAAGGAAAGAAAGCACTGGGGAAAAAGAGCAAGGAGGGCAACAGCAGGGGAACAGGGCAAAGGAAACAATTCAGGAGTTAAGCTGGTGCAAAAGCAGTACCAGAGGAGGCTTAGATGGCTGGAAATCATCACCAGGACCTTTGCATCACCAAAGGGCTGAGGAGCCACTGCCAGCTGAGCCCTGGAGCTCTTCTCCTGTGGGGTGAGATGCTCAGGGTGAAGCCCCACCATTGCTGCAGGGATCTTCTGTGGAGTGTGTTGGTGACACAACTGCTGCCATAAGGGAATGGGGACAGGCAATGTGTAGCAGCTCTGGGATTGAGTTTGTCTCCAGGCTCTGGAAAGGGGTTGCTACTGGTGAGAAGAAATTCAATTTTCAGACTCCTTATGGTTCATGTGTTAATCTGATGTTGAGATATCACTCTGAATATTTCACCATGTGTAGGATTTAAGTATAGAAAAGATGTTTGGATATCCCAAGGTGTATTGGTAATAATGAACACCAGCAGCTGGATAATACCTAATCTCTAACCCATGCCACTGGCAAAAATTCATTCTTTTATTGTTAGCTGCTGGTTTTGATATTACTATATTTTATAATTGCTGAAGCAGCTGAGTTTTGTTATGTTGCTGCAGTTTTGTGTAATTACTCTCCATCACTATAATTTTTCTTTTAGTTAAATGCATTGGAGGTTATAAACTCTTAACTATCAACTATAAATATTCATGGGGAGTGAGAATAGTTCTAACTACCACAAAAGCTTTTTCCCAGTAGTTTTGGCTAGTGCTCTATATTTACACAGGTTGCTTTTTTGATGATGTTGTGGCATAAACAGAAAAAAAAWATAATATACATATCGTTGCAAACAACAGCCAGGTCCCCTATAGTCTGCTRTGTTGAGAATTCTGGGCTCCTCCACAAAGGGCAAGAAGGAGAGGTCCCCCAGTGTGAATGTGCTATAAAACAATATTGTGTTTCCCTTAAGAATTGCAGTGATAAAAACATAGACCATTCTGCAGCACTAGCAACTTTAATAAAATAACATAAAGCACAGCTGTCAGGTCTGCCAGCATCTCACACTGGGAGACATGAGTGAGAAAATGAACACTTTTCACAAGCAGAGATATTCAAAGAGCTGCACTGTTTACATGTAATCAAGACTGACAGTCATAGATTATCGGTGGAAGAGCATTTTCTGCTTGAGGTGAAAGAAGAGGATAATTTATCAGGAAGCCCAAGAAGTCAGACATCAGTAATGATCTGCTTGAAGAAGGGCACATCTTAGAAAYAGTGCATTTATTTGTACTGCAAGGCAAGAAGATGTTGGGAGTTGCAAACAAGAGTCCTGGTGCCTGAAGAATGTCGAGCAGATACAGTGTGTAATTTGCTGGGCAACTGCGATTAGAGAATTGACTAATGTGTGACTCGCTGCTTGTTCAGAATATTAAAAGAAATTTAGCATAATAGAGATTGTCTRAAAGAGCTGTTCATGCTCTCTCTTCCTGTTCTTTCCTTTGGAGTTATCCAGGCTAAGCTGAGGGAGTTGCCAAMTTTCCTGTTGATGCTCAGGATTTGGAGACACTCCTGCAGTGAGTRTCCACAAACAGGTTTGGCCTCAGAGAATTTGGGCCTTTTTGCAGTTAAACATCTTGTCCACCTGCTGCAATGCTTTTGCATCACCTTTCTCTTATGAAAACAGGCCAAGCACCAGCTGCTCTGAAATGGTAACTAGTTTGGAGCCCTGCAGAGGAGGTTTTATAGACTCACTTTACCTTGGTGTGCACTGAGTTTGAAGAAGTAGAATTGTTCTGCAGAAAGTGYCACAGACTTCAAGCTAGTCTGTGTTTGGATATATCTGAGTAAGGATGTCAGCTCAAGATTTCCATCTTTTAATGTCTGACAGGGATAGAAAAGAAGGGGAAGTCACTGTTTTTTATGGATGGATATTTGGCAAATAGAGGCATTTTTTTCCCTTTAGTTTGAGCAGAACCTTGGAGTGTTCTCTAGGTACAATAGAGTGTGGCTTCCCCAGTCTAATCCAAACTTTCAATAGCAAGTCAGATGTTTGCAAAGATTCACAGCTGGGACTTGGCTGTATGTATGGATATGAACACACTCCAAGGCACAGGAGTCCCTAAGAAACAAGTATCAACTGTTAGGTTTGTTTCCCACCAGGATTCTAAATCACTACAATTTATAACTGAAATATCTGTGTTCTTCTCTCCTGAAAGTAGCTTTACAGCTCAGCCAAAATACCATGGAGACTCTCTTAGCCTCTCTTTATTAAAACAAACAAAAGTTTACATGAAGTAGCTTTAGCTTACAGAGGCCCTCACAGGGAGAACTGAACCCATTCAGAAAGTACTTWGCATAAAAACACTTTAAACAACCAGGTGAGACCAAACCCATCCGTGATCACAATACCTTGTCACCATTAGGGATCYCTAGCAGATTTCAGGAGGTTTGAAGAACAAGGAAGGTGCACAGATGGACCTGCCCTGTGCTTTTCAGCTTCCATGGATGTGCAGAATGTGCAATCCCTGAGCTAGAGTTGGTGTCAGCAGCCTTTATTTTATTTGTCTTCTGTTTRTTGGCACTGTTGATTTGAACCTGCAAACCACAGAATGTCAAGGGGCTGGAATGGACCTTTAAGATCATCTAGTCCCAAACCCCTTCTGCCATGAGCAGGGACCCTCCCACTCAACCAGGTCACTCAAAACCTTATCCAACCTGGCTTTGAACACTGCCAGGGTTGGGGCATCCACACCCTCCCTGGGCAACCTGTGCCAGCGTCTCACCACCCTCACAGTAAAAATTTTCTTCCTAATATCCACTGTAAATCTCCCCTATTTCAATACGTGCCCCTACTCCTTGTCCCATCAGTACAATCCTTATTGAAGGGTCCCTCTGGCTGGGGCTGCTGTGTGTGCTGGGGCTGGGCACTGGCAGCCAGGGCTGCTGGGCCTCCAGGCRAGTTTCAGGATTCATTGCTGCTCCCCATACATCTGTTTTAACCTCGAGTCAAAGATTGATTGTTTTTAAAGGTTAGCTGTTCTGTAGCAGAAGAAACCCTMGCCTTTGCCAGCTTTGAGAAGTCACTGTGGTCTGTGACTGCACAGTTTTAATTTAGACAATAACAACAGCCACTGCAGGTTAACCCTCCTTATTGCTATTCACTTCAGTTTCATTGAACAGGAAAAAGAATCACAACCTCCGAGTCACATCCCCAGTTTGCCAATCTCCACATGGAGCCCGCTCTCACCTGGACTGTGCAGAAAGAAGATAGMAAGGGAGAACAGCAGCCAAATCATGTCACTGGAAGCAATTCTTGCAGGTTAAACAAGGAGACCTTGAGGAACAGGGGCAGCTCTCCCTTGCCTGCCAGCTTTTKCCTGCTGTACCTCCTGTCACTCTAAGGTTGAATGAGCAAGACATTGCTTTTTTTTTTTTTCAGAAAACAGCTCACACCTCAGTCAGATTTACCACAACTTGCCTTGTGTTGGTGCATCCTCCTGTGAAGCATGAGCATTCCCAGTCCATGGAAAGTAAAGGATGATGGATATTCTTTCCAATAACTCATTGCTGGGTCAGCTGTGATAGCTACACCCCCGAAGTTGTGTGCAGAGGGTGAGAGCAGGCACGTGGACACAGGGCATGGGCTCTCMGTGTGTGCATTGTACCAGTCCCTGCCTTTTAAATCTTCCTCTCTAATTCTGTGCCACTGTTACAAGATGGATTTATAACACACTTAGTGCTAACRTAACAATGAAGATTAGTCTTCTCCAGTCAAACAGTAATACACTTTAATTTGCCTACAGCTACTGCATTGTATTGGCATGAAAGGAAATGGCTTTCTAATGCAGCTTCATCTGCTGAGCAGGGAGAAATCTGTGCTGCAGAATGTCAAACTACCTAGGACTATAGCTGGCAGCAAAATTCAGAGTAGGAGAAACACAGCAGAAATGAAAGTATTTTGAGTTGCAGGTATGCTAACAATCCTAGTTTATTGCTAAACGTGCCATACACAATAATGCACTTTGCTTGGCAGGGTCATGGTGGCTTCATCTTTGTTTTCACACCTCTTCATCTTCTATATTAAAAAGGTGTCCTGGAATAAAAGGTGTAAATTCGCCGATTTCCAACTTTGTGACATTAACAAAAAGTTGATATTGTGAAGCTCCTTAGAAGCACTGGTGCTGATAATGCAGTYTGTGCTGTACCTAGAGAATCTGGAATCTCAGTGCTTAATCCGTTAAGTAAATGTTTCTGCTGTCTGGTGTAAATGCTGCYTTCCCTTGACAAGTGTCAAGCGTTCTTTGAATGGACATGTGCACAAATAGTCACTCAAGTGCCAGTATTTACCATTACATGGAACTCCTCTCTTCAGGAAAGCAGCAAAGCCATCAGCTTCCTCCCTTGTGAGTGGCAAAGGAAGAAATTATCATGTCTGGGGCAATATCACGTAATGCTTAGTGCAGATGGGAAAGAATAAATTTTTGTGGTCATATTGTGCGAGTTGGACACAAAAATTATATGTTTCATTTACTATTTTTTTCCTGAGAAATCAATGAAATATAATTATGCTTAAAATAAGAGGCTTTTTTCTAGACCAGGGATGTGTCTTGCTTTTAAGAATGGCAGGGAAGGACTAATAACTTGCAYGCAGAGAGGGGAAAAAGAAAAAATTCTATAAACTGCTGGTGGGAAACWGTTGCAACAGGGCCTTGTTATCACAATAGGTCTTTGATAGGAAAGGTGGCACCATGTGCAGACCCTYTTCCTCTCTTCATCACCAGCTCCCTCCATCCTGAAGACACATGGAGCAGTTAGATTGTTTGTCCTAAATTTGACATTAAATCAACAGGTTTAWTTTTTCTTCTTTCTCCCTCAAAAAGTTGCAACGACATGACAAAGAGGATTCCCCTGACAAGTGGAGGACAGAAGAWGAAATGGCAGCTGAAGCAGAAATTCTGAAGAAGTATTTCCAGGAAAATTAAAGGTAATGGTTTGAACATTGACTTACTCCTGCAACAYCCAAAACTCTGCTCAAGCCTCCAGGACCTTCTTGAGGACAATGGGGAAAATATCTAGAATGGAACAAAAGAAACCAAAGCTCTTAGATTTKTGTCATTTCCAAAAGGACACAGCACTACAGCAGTGAACAAATCAGCACCATCCTAGAGCATTTTGCTTCCAGACAGCAAAAAAAATAATGTAGCTGGAAATGAGAATCATCAACATTTACTTAAGAGGAGTTTTTAACCTAACATATCCTCCCTCTGCGCTTTTAGGACAGAAAATAGTCCTGGTACCTCTATGAAGAGCTAAAAGTGGTGTGTCTGTGTACAATCACACATGCATATGCAYCTATACATACAAAATTGCATCAGAATTCAGACTATAGAGTGCATAAGCAAACACTGACTTTACCTGTCAAATGTTAAACGATCTGATCAGTTCAACTTCCAAAACTAAGCCTGCTGGAAAACTGCCTGTTCTGCTAAATTTTCCACTGGTCCT